TGTGCTTCTCTGTCTTGTAGCCATCTGTATATTTAAAAACTCCTTCCTGCACCCAGGTCAGGTGGGAACTCAGTGCTATAAACTGGTAAACCCACCTCCAATGGCTTATTTGACGAGATAGGAGATAGTATATTTGAAAAGACAATCCATCCTGGCTGAGAGGAATTTTTTCTTCTCAGTTTTTACTTTCTATAACTCCTTATGAACAGAGACAAAATCACCACCAAGGACAACAATTTTCTGAGCAGTGCTAATACTCAGGAATGCTAGTAATTGTTCTATTTTTCATTTAATTTATTCTTGACACTACTGACACCTACAGTACACTGCATCCTTAATACCAAAACAGAAAGAAATTAAAAATGCTGCTTCTTAATTGCCCAACTTCCTGAAAAGAGAGACAAAAAACAAGTGGTTACTAATTGCTTTGCAAAATTTTTCTGAGGGATGACTTAAAATTTTAAATCAACATGCAAAATCAACATACAAAAATCAGTTGCATTTCTATACATTAACAATGACATAGCAGAAAGAGAAATCAAGACTATAATCCCATTTATGACTGCAACAAAAAGAATAAAATACCTAGGAATAAGTTTAACCAAGGGGATGACAGACCTGTACACTGAAAACTATAAGACATTGTTGAAAGAAATTGAAGAAGACACAAAGAAATGGAAAGATATTCCATGCTTATGAATTGGAAGAATTAACATAGTTAAAATGTCCATACTTCCTAAAGCAATCTACAGATTCAATGCAATCCCTGTCAAAGTCTCAATGACATTTTTCACAGAAATAGAACAAAGAATCCTAAAATTTATATGGAACAACAAAAAACCTTGAATAGCCAAAGCAATCCTGAGAAAAAAAAAAAAGAGGGAAGCATCACATGCCCTGATCTCAAAGTATAGTGCAAAGCTATGGTAATCAAAACAGCATGGTGCTGGCACAAAAACAGACACACAGATCAATGGAACAGAACTGAGAGCCCAGAAATAAACCCACACATTTATGGACAACCAATTTTTGACAAAGGAGCCAAGAACATACAATGGAGAAAGGAAAGTCTCCGCAATAAATGGTGTTGGGAAAACTGGACAGCCACATGCAAAAGAATGAAAGTAGACCACTGTCTTATACCATACACAAAAATTAACTCAAAATGGATTAAAGACTTGGATGTGAGACCTGAAACCGTAAAACTCCTAGAAGAAAACACAGGCAGTGTGCTCTTTGACATTGGTCTTAGCAATATCTTTTTGGAAATGTCTCCTTAAGCAAGTGAAACAAAAAATAAACAAATGGGACTACATCAAACTAAAAAGCTTCTACACGACAAAGGAAGCCATCAACAAAACAAAAAGACAGCCTACCAATTGGGAGAAAATATTTGCAAATCATATATCTGGTAAGGGGTTAATATCCAAAATATATAAAGAACTCATGCAACTCAACAACAAAAACACAAACAACCCAATTAAAAAATGGCCAGAGAATCTGAACAGACATTTTTCCAAAGAAGATATACAGACGGCCATTGGGCACATGAAAAGATGTTCAACATCACTAATTATTAGGAAAATGCAAATCAAAACCACAATGAGATATCACCTCATGCCCATCAGAAAGGCTATTATCAAAAAGACAAAAAAATCAAGTATTGGAGAGGATGTGGAGAAAAGGGAAGACTTGTACACTGCTGGTAGGAATGTAAATTGGTGCAGCCACTGTGGAAAACAGTATGGAGATTCCTCAAAAAATTAAAAATAGAACTACCATATAATCCAGCTATTCCACTTCTGGGTATTTATCCAAAGAACACAAAAACACTAATTTGAAGATATATTCACCCTTATGTTCATTGCAGCATTATTCACAATAGCAAAGACCTGGAAACAACCTAAGTGCCCATGGACAGATGAATGGATGAAGAAGATGTGGTATATATATATATACAGTGGAGTACTACTCAGCCATAAAGAAGATGAAATCTTGCCACTTGAGACAACATGGATGGACCTTGAGGGTATTATGTTAAGCGAAATAAGTCAGATGGAGAAGGACAAATACCATATGATCTCACTGATGTAGAAGATTAAAAAACAACAACAACAACAACAAACAAACACAGATAACAGATTGGTGGTTACCAGGGGGCAAAAGAGGGTGAGGAGAGTTATGGTGAGTGCAGAGTACAGAGGAGACACCACTTGTAACTTTTAATTATAGCACAAAAGTGCTGTGGCTTTTTTTTTCTTTTTGCTTTGTTTTTTAGTTTTTTTAAGCAATAATATTATAGTGATGAATCATTTTCAACTGTTGAAAAATTATGGTCATTGGGAATCAACTTATATAGTAACAGCAACTATTTTCCTTTTCCTCAATTGGTTGGGTGATAAAAAGCAGCCTGATTACTCTTCAATAGGAAAGGATTAGATTATGAACAAAGGAACTTTTTATAACTACCTTCCACTATTTAGAAGCAATAAGGAGCATTCAGTGGTGTTTACCTAAACTGTAGTTCCTCTGTTCAAATCAATTCATTCCATTCTGTTATTCAAAGCTGCTGTTAAAAACAAAGTTCTTTTTAAAGATTTTTTTTGACATTTAAGGACATTTTATGTACAATTCATACCATTTCAGATGAATTAAATGTGGCTGCATTATAGACTGAGTGTATAAAATGGTTAAGGCAGGTTCAGCTTTAAAGGAGGTTTTCAATCAAATGTGTGGGTTTTGCCTGAATGATGCCAAATCATCAGTCTGATTGAGCAATTCACTCTTCAGTCTATTGATTTGGTAATAAATAAAGCAGATATACCAAAATGCCTGAAAGCACTTGAGAATTAATGGATAAAATCACCCTAATGAACAAAATGGTCTGAAAATGAGAAATCAGCATCCCAAGGAGGGAAAAAGGACTGAAATTAGAACCAAGTGAAAGTTAAGAACATATTCCCCCATAAAATAACACACCAACAATATTCCAATTGAATTATCCTCATGAGATTATTTTTATTTTTAAGATTTTTCTTTTTTAAATACATAGTAGTAGATTGGAATCCTAAGTCAGGCTTCAAGTATATTATTATCAGGAAAGCCAGAAAGTTCCAGCACCATAACATATTTTCTTTAGGTGATGATATATCATATTTCAAGGATGCACAGCAGGAATCCAGTAATGCTTCAAATACATAAAACCATAAGAACAGATTTCATTTAAAATTACAATGACAAAAAAAATATACAAAGATGCATAAAATCTCTATTAAATGACCAGATAGTAATCTGATACAATACTTCCTGATACAAGAAAATGGATTATGACTGGTTTATAATATATAAAAAAATTCCCAAAGTAAAACAAAATCTGTCCACACACGTTGCCATTTACGTTTTATGACTAGTTCCCCTCTATCTGGACATCCTCCTTCCACATATCCATTGTCCTGTGCTGTTCCCCGCACCTTCTCAACCATATTCCTCCTCCTAGATGGTGACCCATCCCTGTAAAATCTCTTCAACACACCACCACCACCATGAAACTCCCGTCGCTACCAAACTCTGATCTCAGCTGGCTCTCCCAGAAAAGGGCAGTAAGGAAATACGCAGTAAGGTGGTTCCAAGGGATAACAGGTCTTTTGTGATCTGATGATGTACATTATGTAGATGGCTACTTCCCCATGCTAACAGTGAGCCATTCCTGATTCTCACTGTATTCTGCACTTGTAGTCAACAGAGCTAGCTATCCAGACAGAGACAGAAAGTGAGAGAAGAAACACACAGATTCTTTGTAGCCTACGAACAAACATCCTAAGATTTCCAGAAATCCTATTAGGTGTCAGGAGAGTAGTTGAAAGGGGATGGTGTGGTGGTTGAAAGCATTAAAAAGGAGCTATTACTGACTTTAGAATTTTATAGGATATCCGAGATATCCTATATCCAAGCACAAGGCAGGTGTATCAAACATCTGTTAAAATAAATTGCAAACAAAAATCAGGCACAGATTCCACTTGAACAAACTCTTTTCTACTTAAGACAGTGACTCCCAGCTTGGAGACCACCAGTCCCTGATTAGCCTCCGAGTGATGATAGGCTGTCCTCGAATTCATATACACAACCAGCCTCGCCAACAGACTAAATAAACCACACGCTTCTCAAATACAGGGATGACTATTCCTCAAGTGTAAATAGCTGATGATGTGATTAATAAAATCCAAATACATTCAAAGATGGTATTGAATTCATAATTATTTTATCAAGTATATTCTCAGATAACATGCAATAAGTATACAACTACTCATAAAAATAAGTCCTTGAAAATTCTGGCACTATAAAAAGTATCTTCATGTCAACAAAAGGGTTGGGAATTACCAGGCTAGGATTCTATACTAAACTCTCCAGACAAGGTTCAATGTAGCTGGGTTCTGGTGCCTCAATATGTACGTACATAGGCTCACCGCCTTACTTCCTTTCACAGTGATCAATAACAAAAATACACGCATGGTACTAAGTTTTACTAAAGTACATAAGAAGAATGGATTTTCATTTGAAATAATAAATTTGAAGTAACAAAAGGAAAGTAAACAAATATATACACATATACTAAAATCCATACAAAAAAATATATTAATTTATCAGATCTTCTCCATAAATCTACTAATCTACACAGAATACAGTCATGCGCCACATAATGATGGACCGCATGTACAATGGTGGTCCTCATGGTGGTCCCATAAGATTAGTACCACATAGCCTAGGTGTGTAGTAGGCTATACCATTTAGCTTTGTGTAAGTACACTCTATGATGTTCGCACAATGACAAAATCGCCTAACGACACATTTCTCAGAGGATATTCCCATCATCGAGCGACACATGACTGTATAAGAAAACATTCCCTTAGCATGAACTGCCTATCATCACCACCAGCTAAGTGAGCCCACAGGGCTGCTGTGCACCTGCTTTCTCGCTTCCACTCTGTGAAGAGCTGCAGGTTCATTAGCCAAGTGGTCCTCCTTTAAAAACGGTAACAAATGAGGAAGGAAGAATAGATATGAACTCATCAGCAAATCTAAGGCAGGTTGATTGCCTGGTCCTCCTTGAATTTGGGGATCTTCTTAAACTCACTTTGCTTCTTGAAGAAAAGCTGGGCCAGGATGTGGTCTGCTGTGGCTTGCAGATAATCGTCCATGTCAAGGGTTTGCAGCTGACAACGGAAACCAAAAGAAGATGTATCAGCACCGAACTATTCAGGTTCCTGCAAAGATCTTACAGCCACCAAGGCACGTGCGGGGTGCTTGGCTGTGGAACTTTATACAGCTATGGATTCCTGCAAATGGTCACTTTGTGGTGCCACTCTTCCCTTGTTGTGGGGAGCTCACTTTTCCAATTCTGAATATAAGGCAAATCTGATTGATGACTAGAGGTGCTGAGGCATCTGAAGCTCTCCTTAGAAGGGACCTCCATCATACCAGGAGGTAGCTCCTTCTCTTTGACAAGGGAGCGGGACCCTCTGTCTTCCTGTGAGCAGGGACTAGTGACAGAAGAGCTTCTCAGAACACTATGCCCACAGGCACGTGACAGAGGCAAACACTGCTGTCAAGTAAGTGGTCCTCGTGCTCCACAGCCAGAGCCTGGCCTCTCTCCACTGGCGATAATCCCTGCCTGTCTGGCCTGGCTGTCTAGTTGCCTGGGTTTGACTCACTTGTTTGTCCTTGTCCCCTCTCTCTATCACTGTCTTTCTCTCCCTCTGTCTCTCTCTCTCTCTCTGACACTACCTCTCTTTCTTAGTCAGCCTCTCAATTTCTGGGTATGTGCATGTGTATATGTATGTCTCTGTGTCTCTCTCACTGTGTTTCTCTGTGTCTCTCTGTCTATATGTGTGTCTCTGTGCTTATCTGTCTCTGAATCTCTCTCTCTTGTTTGTCTGTATGTGTTTGTCTCTATGTCTGTCTCTGCGTGTGTGTATGTGTATGCATCTGTCCTTCTGTGCCCCTCTGTATATAGGTCCATCTGTGGTCAGGTATGTATGTGTCTGTGTGTCTCTCCTTCTGTGTCTCTGTGTCTCTAGACATCTCTGTCCTTCTTTGTGTGTATGTCTGTGTCTCCTTCTATTTGTGTGCCTCTGTGTTGTTTCTCTCTCTTTCTCTGTGTTTCTGTCACTCTCTTTATAGATACCTCTCTATATCTGTATATGTCTCTGTGCATGTCTCTCTCTGAGCATCTCTCTTTGTATCTATCTCTGTGTGTCTCTGGGCATGTATGTCTCTCTCTGTGCCTCTGTCTCTCATTCCGTGTTTCTTTCTGTGCATGTATTTCCCTCTCCATCTGTCTAACTCTCTCTCCCCGCTCCCTCCCTCCTCTTTCCCTTCATATCCCTTATGCAAAACATATCCCCATCAGAAACATTTCCATTACCCACTCTGATGGGGTAGGGGGGACTATCTCTCCTCAAGGTGCATATCAGATATTCCTGAGGATGGGGGCAGAGGTCAAAAAATTCCTCCTACCCAAATGCTGATTCATTTCTTTCTCCCCTGTTATGGATCACTCCCTCAAATTCTTTCTTTTCACTAAAAAACTCTCTATTCCTAGTCTCTTTTTAAAATATTTATATTCTTTAATTTTGGGCTTGCATTTAATGGTTTTCAATTGTCATTTTTATCTTTCATACTTTTAAATTTTAATTAGTTGGTATTAGCCTTTCATGTCACACTAAATCTTATTTTATCTCCCATATTTATTTTCATTCTTAACTTTTTGCTTTTGGCATACTTTACACTTAGGTAAAATTTTTACTTTACTCCTTTGTTAAATTCTTTTCTTATTCTTAACTTTTTAAACTCTAACTTACTATTGATAACTTGAGGTTTTTCCTTCTTTTCCTATTTAGATTTGATTTGATTTGATTTGCTTTATGATTTGTTCTTCTAACACCTGGAGAGAATAGTGACTAACGGGTGGCAGTAGCAGTGAGACCCACACCACAAGTAGGGAACCCTGGAATCCTTCTTGCCCCCAACAAAGTCGACGGCTAGCTTCTGACTCCATCTCTTCCTCACAAAGCTCTCCACAAACCTCATCCTAGGCACCCCTAGAAAGGTCTGGAGACCCAGGGAAGCAGATGCTGGAATTTTCCAGTCTCCCTCAGAGAAGGTAGGTATTATCTTGGGAAATGAGCATCACCAACCAGCACTGAACCTGCCTCCCGGCATAGGTCCTGTTGATGATACTGCTGAACCCATGCTGTGCTCTCCCTTGGAGATCTTTTTGGGTATCCTTGAAGGAAGAACCACATGCAAGAGAAGCGTCTGTCTGTTCCTGGACTTGCCCCAGGGTTCCCAGTCAGATTGTTATAATTCTCACATAATCTCAGAAGGGAACCTAGTCCTGAAGATTTTTACAAATCTAAATTTGACTATTTATCCCTGTTGTTCAAACCCATCATTCCACCTAATTAAGGAACCTTGGGTGAATGATAGGAAGGAATACTACTTCGCTACTCCAAAAGTTTCTTTTCACATAGAAGAGACTCCATTTCTCTTTCCCTACCCCCACGCCCCCAGAGTGAATTCAGGAAGAATAAACTGGGCATGCTCACTTTACCTCTTCCCTCTCTGTCTAGGAAATGGCAAACCTTCAAAGCGCATGCTCTGTTTCTTTATGCCACAAGGTGTACAAGCACCTGCCTCAACATGGGGAGGCCTATCCAATTCTGAGGATCAATATTAGGAAATCCATCTGCCCATAGATATTAATCATATTCTCTAATATCTGCTTTATTAGTAATAAAAATGATTTCATGGATCTCTATACACCACTCTTTGGTCTTTTTCTCAATTGGTTCAGACCTTGGGGAATTAAGAAGAAATGTGATATATTGGATCCCTTTATAACCAAATGAAAAGATTATTTGATTCTCTTTCTCTTCACACACTGCTTCAGCCAGTTCATTCATTTATTCACTTAACATTCATTTACTGAGGCCCCTGCTATGTCCAGATACATTGCTTATCAGAGTATTCTGCACATCATTGGCCCTCAGCATCTCTCTTAAGCTGCTTATTCTCACCTGGTCTCCAGTGCTGAAGGCAAGAATGAAAAGCAAATCCTCATCGCACATGCTCTTAATGTAATGCTGGGTCCCAATGGGGAAAAATATCACATCTCCAATGTGAATGTCAAACTCTATGGTACCCTGAGTATTAATAATGCCCACCTAAGGAGGGGGGAAAAAAAAACTATGTTGAAGTTAAGCAAATAAAATCAAATATTCATCAAGGATAAGTATTAATAGTGAAGTACCGACGAATAAAAGCACACAGTTATACAGGGACTTCTGAGGGTAAATAGCAGAAGATAGAGGCCATCTTTGACATAAAATCTTCTGAGTCTGAGACACAGCCCCATAAAAATCAAAGATACTCTATTTAAGTAACTGTTCGTCAAAATGCATTGGTGACTTCAATACGGTGGAACATCATGCAAACAGAGCATCAATCACCAGGTTCTAATTAAAGGTTATAAATTATGTTCCCTAATTAGGCAGAGGATTTAAATTTCAATGTTTTACAACCACCATGCCCTCCTTTCTACTTGCTTGGGAAAATGCAGCCTTCTGGGAAAGCAGCATCCTAATAATCTTCCTTTAAAGGGTTAGAGATTAAATGTGCACACAGACACGAGCACACCAAAAATAAGATCTGATTCGTGAAATATAATTTGTGAAAGATTACAATGCCCTTTTCCCATTTATTGAAGCCTTCACCTCTGAAAACATAAAATAAAACTTTGGCTATGGATGACATAAGAAGTGAATTTCAGTCTGGTTTGGTTCTTTCTATCAAGATTGAGACAGGTACAGGCTAGAGAAGCCCATTTCACTTGTGTATACCATTGTAGATTTCCCCAGGGAGCCCTAGAGAGTCCAAAAGAACCACAGTCAAATCACTGTGGTAACATGCTACTCAGTTTGGCTGTTCTTATGGTTACCACATAATTAATCATCCAAACCAGGACTCCCTGAAGAGTCAAAGAGGGTGTTGTTAATAAGTTCACCAATACAATTAGTATACCTCAGGAGGATCCTGGATTAATGGGGATATATGGCCGTCCTAATGATGCTCCGAACCTCCCCAGCCACCCCCACTCACATTACACTGAAACGCAAACAGGGATTTCATGTTCCCTGAGGGCAGAACATTAAACCTTTGCATTACTGAAAAGGCAATACTCTGAAAACCTAAGCAGGTGTTCCAGACCTTCCATCATAAGTGATATCCTCTTATCACTTCTGAAATGTTCTTAGCCTCTTCTCAGACTCAGAACAAACTTGGAAACAATCTAGCGGGGCCTGTGTGGTATCCTCTGTGGAAACTGTGTCCAGAGAGCCATTAGCACAGAGTCCTTTTATGTTACTAACAACTGAACCAACACAAAGAAATACCTCCCATTTGCTTCTTTCTGTATTAAAAAGGAAAGTTCAAAAAACTGTTTACAGAGAAATTACCTTTGCACATCCACTTATTACATATCCCATTTCGTTTGCATTAAAATGAAAGTGTGGCTGTCGTAATCCATTGTTATAAATTCTGAGTGTACTCAAAGCGAGGGCATTTTGATGCTAGAAAAAGAAAAAGAAAAATGAAATCCAGTTATTTAGCCAACATCCTACTCAGCAACTTAACAATTCGTATAATGGTAATAATAACTAATATTTATATGGCTTTCATTAAAAACATGCAATTTTTTAATATCCTTTACATTTATTATGTCACTTGTTCCTTATAACAATCTTACAAGGTTGGTAGTATTATTCTCCTGATTTTACAGGTGATGAAATTAAAATCTAGACTGGTTGAGTGATTTACCTTCGCTCACACAGCTAAGAAGTGGCAGAACTGGGATTTGAATCCGGGAATTTGATGCCAAAGCTGTGCTCTTACTCATGATGGAATACAGTGATTAGAGCATTTAAAACAAATGAAAAGGGAAATCTCACAAGCATTCAGTCTTTTCTTTCATGTAACCATCCATGCCAAGAAGTTAAGTTCCCAAATCCACATTGATCAATGTAAACTGTTAATTAAAGTCTCAATCAAATCAACCATGCTTGACTACTGACTAGATCTTTCCTTTTCCTTTTGTTCAAAAGAAGACTGAATCCAATCTAAATCTCATATTTCATCCATCTTAATAATCATCAAAACATTCTTCTCTATTACCTGATTCAGGAATTCACTAAAAATTTTTTCATTGTTGCTTAGTTCACTTCCATTTTTCCAATATTGTGCCCGTTGTATTATTCCTCCTGGAAATCGATATTCTTTTGAACCTGAGTCAGATAAAGTTTAAAGAACAAAATAAGATAAATTACTTCAAAATGGCACTACAGAAGGAGAGCCAAACATAGTCCCAGTAAAGTACATAGCTCTTCTATAGTCACAGAAAGCTTCCGTGGTGGGAACTGCTAACACCAGATGCTATGTGCTCCCAAGATATTGATCTGATACAGTCAGATACTATCCTACCTTCTAACCTCACCTGAAATTTCTAACATATAGTGACCTCTTAAAGAGGTCTTAAAGACTGTTCAACTCAGGGGACCTAGCTAGAAAACTTGAGAGTCATCCTAAAAACCAATCTCTACCTCACCCCTCAAGTCAGTCAACTAACTCCCGTCAGCCCTACCTCTTTAAATTCTCTTTGCTTTGCAACAATCCTCTCCCTCTCACAACTGTCATAGTGCAGGCCACCATCATCCCCTACTTGAGGGACTGCAAGAGTCCCCCAACTCATCTCCCTGCTTCTCAACTGGCTTCTTCCAGTCCATTCTCCACAATCCAGACACACTGGGTCATCACTTCAAAAAACAAAACTAACTCGGACAGATATCTGCATCCACATGTTCATTGCAGCATTATTTACAATAGCCAAGATACGGAAACAACCTAAGTGTCCATTGGTGGAGGAATGTATAAAGAAAATGTGGTGTGTACATATATATATAATGGAATACTATTCAGCCACAAAAAAGAATGAAATCTTGCCATTTGCGACAACATGGATGGACCCTGAAAGCATTATGCTAAGTGAAATAAGTCAGACAGAGAACGACAAATACCATATGATCTCACTTATATACGGAATCTAAAAAAAAAAAAAACCAAGCTCATAGATACAGAGAACAGATTGGTTCCCCCAGAGGTTCTGGTATCCCCCAGAGGTGGGCAGTGGAGAAAATGGGTGAAGGGGGTCACAAAGGTACAAACTTCCGGTTATAAAATAAATAAGTCATGGGGATGTAATGTACAGCATGGCAACTACAGTTAATAACACTGTACTGCATATTTGAAAGTTGCTAAAGGAGTAGATCATAAAAGTTTTCATCACAAGAAAAAAAATTGTGTAACTGTCTATGGTGACAGATGTTAACTAGACTTGTGGTGATTATTTCGTAATATATACAAATATTGTATCATTATGTTGTACACTTGAAATTAATATGTCAATTATATCTCAAATAAATAAATAATAAATTAAAAACCTAATTGTGTCACTGTCCTATATATAACCCCTTAATTGCTCCCCTTTTCCATCAAGATAAAGTATAAACCCACTAGCATGGCTTCTAAAACCTGCGTGATTGGACCTCTCCGCTTTCATCAGCCTCTTCTCCTGCAGCACCCCCAACCCCAACACACCCCCCTCACACTTTGAAATCTTTTGCCACATTCTCTTTTGCTTCCAGGTCTTTTCTCACATTTCCTACTCTGTTAAGAAATGTGTTTTTCAAACTTCTCTTGACTGTGACCCATTGTAAAAAACCACGTTATATCTCAATCTAGCACACCTATATAATCACATATATAAATACTTAACTAAAAAAGGCTTCACAAAATAACATCCTATACCTTTAAGGTCATAAAAGTATCTCCACACAAGGCTGTCTGGAGACTGTGCATAACTAGCATTCATAACCAGTTCTGCCAGGTTGGGAGGAAGGTTGACCCCCTGATCCTCTTCTTGCTTATGGAACGTTCTAATGAAATTAATTCCACCTTCAGGCTGAAAAATATAAGAAACCACATATTTGTGAAACATTCTACAAATTTTGGCAACAGAAGGGTGGGTAGCTGAGGATAGGGTAGCATCGGCACCAGTGTGGTTTTCAGTGGCCCAGTAAAAGAGCTGACCTAGGTTAGCCTAAGTCTTGTGACATTTATGAAAATCCTCCAAGTTTTCAATGTATTTTGGTTTTAAATGTGCTAGTGTTTTATGGTCAATATAAACTCCTGCAAAAATATATACTGGTTCCCACGCTTACCAATACTCTCCCTAATAACTCATTTCTTCTACTTCTCCCTATAACATTAGACACTACTGCAAGATAAATCTCAAAACCCTACTAGATAAATTGCTAAATTTACCACAGAGCCCCTTCCAGTTGCCACTCATGGGCCATCACCAATTCTTCTGATTACCCATTTGCATTGTCAGCATCCACATCTGACCCTCTCTACCCAGCATTATCAGCAGTCACTCCAGTGATAATATAACTAATTGGAGAGATCAAAAGTAGCTATTCTTCAGGAAAACTGCGGGATTCTCTACATTAGATTAAGAAAACACAGTTACATTACCTGTAGCAAACTTCTCCCTAGATGGGCTTATGGCTTTTCAGAGATGTAAATGATAGTAATTTTTATCAACTATATCATAACCTTTCTACCAGTTCATTACAGTTTCCTAAAGAAGTCCTTCATAAAGGAAATAAAGAGCAATTCAGTTTCAACAGGTTTTATGTCTTCGGTAGGAACACAAGATACATTCTTGAGTCCATTACCCAACTGTTACCCTGTTGACTGCTGCCCTAGAGACACGAATACGCGTGCTCTCTTTGTGCCTATGTAGTGCATACCCTCATGGTGGGATTTGTTTTCAGCAGTGGTACAGACCTTAAGTGACCTGGCAGCAATGTCCTCAGGTGTAGAAAAAAATACATCATCAACATCCAGGGTCTGAAGTTCATCGTGTGTGGAAAAGAAGAGTAAGAAAAAGCAGTCTTCATTGCCCACATTCTTTATCCAGTGCAGTGTATTTTTAGGGAAGAAGATCACCTGGCCAGCTGTAACATTGTACGTGGTAACCACACCACCATCGTCAACCACCCCAATCCACGCTGTGCCCTGAAACATCAACAGAAAAGTACATGCAACATCACCTTAGAGCAATGTTTCTCATCTTTTTTTCATTACCCTCTTCCAAGGTACCCTTTTAGATGTTTTTTTCCCCTAATCACCACTCTATGAAATTGTAACACTACTGATGTACTATAGATCTGTATACTGTTTACACATACTGCTTATGTCCTGTACATATATTTATACATCAAAAGAGTAAGATTTTTTTGCCCCCCAAGAACCAGTTTTTGACCTCTTGGGGCAATATCACCCCATTGAGAATTTAGAGATCTAAGTTCATGCTCTAGAGTTTGAAAAGACTGCAGGCACATGTGTCTGCTCATAGGTGGTTGCATAGACATGCATGTCTGTGCACATTTGTGTGTGTATGCATACAGATACTTATGTATTTTCCAGATAAGAAAAAATTTGCATATAATTTTAATAATAATAATGTAATAATAGTAAGTAACAACTTAGTGCTTTTACTGTGTGTCCACGTCTTCTTCTAAGCACTTTACCCAATTTAACTCAATTATTCCTCACATCAACTCTATGAAGCAAGTACTATTATTTTCCTCATTTTACAGATCAGAAACTGAATCCAGAGAGAATATATAATTTTCCCAAGGTTACTCAGTTAGTCAATGGCAAAGCTGGGATTTGGACCTAAGCAGTCCAGCTCCAAAGTCTACACATTTTTTTAAATTGTGGTAAGAAGTGTACAACACAGTATTGTTAATTATAGACACAATGTTGTACCGAAGATCTCTAAAACTTAATTACCTAGTTAAATCACCTTGTCACAATTATCTAGTCAAACTATCTAGAAGCAGAGAGTAGAATGGTGGTTGTCAGGGACTGGGGGGAAGTCCACACTCTGAATCTAAACTGCACCATACTTTGATTCTGCTTATGCAGAATTGTATCCTTTCTCTCATTCTCTCATCTGTTCCTCAGTATTACCCTGTGAGGTAGGTAGAGAAGGTACCATTATTTCTGTTTTACCAGAAACTCATGGTCACATGGTGCAGCATCAACAAGGGTAGATGAAAAAGGAATCTTTGTTCTGTCTACACAAACATGTACAACTCGGATCCAGACAGGTATTAAAGATGCAGGGGAAAGGTGAACCTCTAAAGAGCTCCCTGTAAGTTCACATGCAGAGAACAGCAGAAATGTGTATCTATTCATATCAGGGCACCAACTATTCCAGACGCAGAGCAGAGAGCCCATTGTCCAATGGGACAGCCACTGCAAGGCCACACATCCTGGCAGCCCCCGCTGCCCTGCTCCTCTCAGGGCCACTCCTTCCAAGGCTTTCATGAAGACACTCAGAAGCAAAGGCAATCTCCACGGCTGAGTGTGCACTGGAGGGACTTCCTCCACATCCTATTGGTTGGTCCCTTACCCTGACTGTGAGAGTGAGTGATCCTGTAATTTTCCTGGGATCTAGAGAATATCCAAGCCCAAATTTAGAAGCTCAGATTATATCTGAGAACAGCCTCCCCAGCCTGAGCTGGATCCCAGGCCTGTTACCTACTGGAACATATTCCAGATTAATTTCTCTAGCTTATAGTTTGTTTCTAGGGGTCCCCCTCCAAGAAAGTCCACTTAATTGCCTTTCCTTCCTCCTACCACTCTGTCATTATTCAGGCAGAGCCATGAAAACTAATCTTTTGGAGATTATCCTTTTTTATACATTTTGAATATGTGGAAAAGAAGAGAAGTCAGAAAACATGGACTTTTGTCTTAGTCCAGCCAACAACTATAGTTTATCTTTAGAAAAGTCACTTAATCTTTCTGAGCCTCTACTCTCTCATGAGAAACAAAAAGGGTTTGGTCTCATGTAGATGAAACTCTAATCTCTCTTTCTGTTGTAAATTCTAAAAGTGAATGAATTGCCCAAGTATAAAAGGTAGTTTTTTTAAAACAACAGAAAATATGTCACATAAAATTGGCTGATCTTTAACAAGATAAGGGTAAGACCTCATCTCTCACCAAGGTAAGACCAGACTCTGAAAGCTCTATGAGGACTTAGCCACTACTGCTTCCCCAGTGTCTGGAATACAGAAGGCAACCAATAAATATTTTTTAGAATTAATGAACTATTTGAAATTTAAGGAAGTACACTCAATTCACCTCCAGCTCTATTTCACTTGACTTCTAGAAAATTCTGAAAAGTCTGAACTGCAAAAGAGCATCCAATTGGCCTGATCTTAGGAACTCTGGGGTGAACATCAGCAAACTGGTTTGTTATTTCGGCTGCTGCCTTTTTCCTTAGAGGAAAGCTGCCGTCTCTTTGATCATTAGATCAGAGCTACCAGTTTTAGCCTCGGTTCAAACGATGGAAGAGCGATCTTATTTTAACAACAGTGTATGAAAAGTGATTTCATGCTGAAGAAAGAAGTTCAAAGTGATGCCAAGAATAATTCAAACAGACAGGTTAATGCTTCAAGGCACTGCTAAACTACTCTAACTGGATACATAGCTGCAGGCTGGATGTTGTCTATCACTTAGCTAAGTAGGTTTTGCAACAACTAAAATAATAGCCTGACAACACACAGCATAAATGCTGAAGTGCAGAATGCGGGCAAACTGGTTATACCTGTACGAGATAGCCGTGTTCATTAGCATTGAAGTGCCAATGAGGGGCCCGGAGGCCATTGCTTTTTATTCTCAGGGTCCCCAGAGTCATCTGTGATCTCTGACTGTTCAAGCTGCTGCCAAAGGCCTCTTCTTCAACGCTGAGATAGTCTTTGACATTGCTCCTGTACCGGGCCCACTGGATGGCACCACCAGGGAACTCAAACACCTGAAAAGTCAGAAGCAAGTGACCATGAGCATGGAGGCCATCTCCTGAGGAACGTGAGGCCACCACGGCCTACAGAGTAAGAGGGAGGCAAAACGGAAAAGGCAATGGTGGTGAGGTGAATACTGGAGTGTCCCCCTCCAAAAAAAGGAAGACTAGATCTGCAAGACTCCGAGAATGACAACAGTGGTACATGTAGAGTTATTAGTCTAGTCCATGTTAGACATAAAAAGAGATACCTGTCTTGGCCAGAGAATAGAGGGCTTTCCATCTGTCCACCTGCACTTCTCCCCTCCAGCCAGACATAGAACTAACTACTACAGAAAATTTCTGCCTGGGGCCAACAGCAACCCAACTTGCCCTCTTCTCTATCCCTCACCTCCCTTCATCCAGATGGCCCACAGCTGGGTCCTTCCAATCAAGAGAGAACAAAGCTTAGTAAACATGCAATGGAAACTTAGTTTTGAAATTGCCATTTAGAATAGACGATTCTTTTTCCTACTATGTGTGATTCATACCTTGGATTTAGGTAAATGATTAAGAAACTGGAATTTTGGATCAACAGCCTTTTGAACAATGGGAATCGTCGTTGCTCGCAGAGGCTGGGCTTCGGGTACTAAATGAACTTCTGAATGGGGCTGAGAGTTGTTAACATAAACCAAGGAGAGAATCAGTACTCCTACTGCAGTGGTAATGGTGCAGGCCAGGAGACACACCAGGAAAACACTCATCAATGACCACTGCCTCTTCTTTTCCTAGGAGAAATTAGGAAGCCATTATTCTCTACTCTTGATGCATTAGAAATATTGCCTGCTTTCTCAATTAGGTTTATTTTCCCTCTTATTTAAAAAAATGCATTTGTGGGATAAATATACTCGGTTAAATAATGCATGTGTAAATATGAGTGTAAATAAAACACACACACACACATCCCATATACCTTGTTGACATCCAAATAAACAAGGATAAAAATAAAAATATGAGGAACCAGGGCACAGAATAAATTACTAGAAAATTAAGTAGGCAGTGAAGTTTATACGTAAAATGCATTCCAATTCAGTCAGCCCTTATTTACCAGTTTCTTTACCTGAAAATTAAAAAGGTTATAAAAAGTATTTTCTAAGAACTTTTTAGTCCCAGAATGTACATATGCATGTTTACACGTAGAGATACTTGGCATGGGAATAAGTAACATACCAGTAAACAAGTGGCCTGACAGGTCTCAGTCTCTCTGTCCCTCCCTCCTTCATTCAAACAGCTTCATTAAACTCCCCTCCTTCCACATATTACCTACATGAGCTACTATCCCATCTACTAAGTCTGAGCACAGTATTTCCACGTATTTCTATGTTACTATTTCCTGGTTTCACATCACAAATATACGCTAAAAACAACAGGATTATTTCTGTGAGTTACAATCCACATTACTGAAAGCTGCCAAGCAAATACACACCCTAAACTTTGGACCAATTTGCCCTCATTCCTCTGACCACTAAAATGATACTCATACGTACTGATGTCAGTCTCCTGTCCCACTGCCCTCTGAGTTCTGGCCTTTCTCTCTGATAGGCAGATCTCTGATCACTCATAACTCTAACCTGGACAGTCTTAGTACTTTAACATTCTTAAAGGGTGTATTTTGTATAGCATAATCACTTATCAACATATTCAGTTTAACACTGAATGAAGGCATTATATTGAACATTAAATAACTCATTAATACCATGAGCAACAATTTGTAGACAGTTGGGCTATTAAAGAGCTAAAGAAGGTGTGAGTTAAGAGTTTATGAGAAAGAAGGCAAATCAGGAAATATTCAGAGCAGGAGATGTCTGCAGAGGGTCACTTGAGGAGAGCTGGTCTAAAGAGGGCTTCTCTCCTGAGCTCTGCGGAAAGGCATTAGGGGAACTAATCTCAAGATGCAAACCCCACCTTACCATTCTGGAGATGGTGTCCATCTTCCCCACAGACAAAACATTCTGTGTTGCATCTCCATGCATTTCAAATGCTGAGTTGTCCATTGGCAAAAAGGAGCAAGCAAGTCACTGAAAAAGAAAAAGAGGGGAGAATGTAGCATTAGCAAAGGGGGAGATCCCTGAGAGAAGAATGATAATTCTTAAGTAAGGGAGTACTTATATAGAGCTGAAAGTTAAGGAAATGAAATAAGGAAGCTGTCTCTTAAACTATAATCTTGACTTAAAAAAAAAACACCTAGAAAAAATTCCCAAATTACAGACCAATAAAACACTTTCTTTGGTCCTCAACTCTGCCCACTGATGATGCATACACAGGTGATAAAAATAATGGCTAACAGTTATTTCCTTCTCTCACTGTTTGCCAGGCACCGTGCTAAGTGCTTTACCTACATTACAGGATTTAATTCTGACAGCAATCCTATCAGGTTCTATGATTATTCCCATTTCATAGATTAGGGAACTGAAGTACAGAGAGGTGTGGTAATTGCCCAAAATCACACAGCTAGTTTTAGTGTCAGAGCAAACCACCCTTTATCAAAAGATTCTTCTGTGACGTTGGTTCTCGGCAGAGATTGATGGTGGGAGCTTAGTCTAATACAATCTTTTTTCACCCAAATCAGTCCTGACTTTAAATAATGTGACTGATTTTCCTTCGTGGTTTATTGAATAATTTTGTTACCTCAAAGTTAAATCTTCACTTAAAATTCATTTTGCATCATCTTTCCTGGTGATGAGTGGTGGCCTGAGTAATCTAAAAACCTCCCCCATAATTCACAAGGAGTCTCCCTTCTTTCCTTTCTACTTTCCTATCTTTATTCCTTCAATAAACATGGTTGAATGCCTACTGTATTCCAGGCTGTATGTCACTCCTGTACAGCATTAAGAGGCCTTTGGTTAGCTTATAGTCTAGTAGGAGAAATGAAAAGAAAGCAAGTAATTACCAAACTAAATGTGCTGTGTTATGATAGAATTATGTACGAGGTCTTCTGAGGATATAGGAGAGTGTTTGTCTCTGAGATGGGAAGAAAAGGCAAGGCTTCTCTGAAATCATCATTTTGAGCTGAGCCTTTGAGTCCCAACATGGCTTCACTAGGTAGGCACACTTAGTCAGTTACACTCTATTCCATATTTCTGGCTTGTCTATAAGCAGCTCTGGAACAGACCATGTGGTAAAAATGTAGACCTATCCGGGTCAGGCAAGTTAGACAAGGCTGCAGGTTAATCAATGCTCAGGTGATAGGGAGCTGTGGCTTTCCCACCACATCTCATCAAATCCAAGACATACCAGTGTGTCATATCAATTTAGCCTGTTCCCACAAAGGCCTGGGATTTAAATTTATGGCATTGATTTTGAGGTAATAAAATATTTAAAATAATTATCAGTGGAGTGAATAAGGTGATTTCCTCATCTTGTTATCAAAGTACCATGAAACATATTTTTCCTGTTTAATTTTCCTTGTGCATTTGTTAGCTGGAATGAATTTTACATTTTAACTCTCTGAAAATGGGATATGTTTTATGATGAGTGGTCTCTAAGACTCGACGAAATACAGCATGCCACTTTTCTTCGGTCTTATCAACAAACGGTACTATATGAATCTTCAAAGCAAGTTTTACACAATTTCATGTTTTGCTGTTTCTCTTCCTTGGAAGGATGAAAACACAGCCCTCTGTCACCAGCATTATCTAAGAACTACATTTGACAATTATTTAAACGGCAAGACAAGCAAATCACCAACCAAACCATAGTAAAACTTGCTTTAGCACTGAACGAAAGAACGCCGCACCTGGAGGAGGTCCTTTTGATCTTTGTAGATAAGAAAACAGAGGGCCAGAGAGGCTAAGTATTCTTTCCACGGAAACGCAGTAAATCACTGGCAGAGCCAAAACACAAGTCCAGCTCCCCTACTTTCAGCCCGAGCTTTTCCTATGACTTCTCTCTACTTGCTGCAGGAGAACCTCCTATCTTTGATATACATGTCAAGAGTTCAAGGTGAATTGAAGCAGAACAGCTGAATGCAGGAATAATATCAAAATCATTTTAAGGTGTGTGAACATAATTCCGTGGTGCAGCCCAGAGACTCCCAACAGTGGATATGCCAGCCATTCACATAACCCTCAGAAACTGAGCAGTTTCTGTTAGACCAGAAATGCTTGGCAGGCTGAGAAGAAAATAGGCAGAACTGTAAACTGAACCAGATTCTACAAGGAGCAGCCAAAACACCAAGCAGGTGTGAGACTTACAGAAGGAGGAGAACATTGATGACCCTGTTTAGATTTCTTTGTAACACACCTAACTACACATCTAATCACTTTTAAACAAGAACCATACTACTTATATGTTGCGGCCAAAGACAAGCATGGGTTAACATCTCAAAACTGGGAAGAATAAATTACAAACACATGCCCAATACTTTTGTGTTCATGTCAATGTTTAAGCTACTGTGCCTCCAATCATAAATATAAATGCCTGAAACTATTTCCTGAGTTCTGCTTGTGCTGTCAAATATAATACTTGCTCAATTCAAACATAATTAGGAAATACCAAAATTTTTATTCATCAGTGGCCAGGCTTATACCCAAAATATTGAACCACCTATAGGGCAGAGGCGCTGAGCAGTCAGAACAGAAGCAGTTGGCGTGGCCACACCAATGAGCATCGGTCCTGCCAATGGCTGTAACCAGGGCACATGTTTATAGTGGAGTGGTTAGGAAGGCAAACTCTGGAGCCAGACCACAGTAGTCTGAATCCTAACTCCGCCCCTTATTAGCTGTGTGACCTGGGGCAAGTTATTTAACTTCCTTGTGCCTCAAGTTCTTCATCTATACAGTGGGGTAACAATGTTGTCCTCATAAAGGTGTGAGAGGATTAAACTAGTGAATATATGTAAAGCACTCAGCACAGTGCCTGCACACAGTAAATGTCCAATAGATGTTAGCTTTGGTCCTTTTTAATAAGCACAAGTAGACTTGCTACTTTAAAATACCTATATTTTAATAAGGCATAAGGATACCCTGAATTCATAAACCACCTTTTAACCCTCCTAGTAATTCAGAGTACTACATTCTCACCCATTACCTTAAATGGTTTATAGAACTGTCCTTACTTTATACATTAGAAAATTCGAGTAAAAGTACCCGCTTATATTGGGCTAATAAAATTGTAACTAAAACCCAGGTTTTCTTACTGCCATTCCAGGGAGCTTCCTATCTGGACCATATCCAAGTACTACAAGGCTGTGGCAGTACATCCCTTACCCTTTCACCCCTTCATCTTCTTCTAATCCACCCTCACACCACTGCACATCATTTAAACCATGGTCGCTTTAATCTCCAAAATGGGAGGCACTGGGAGCAGGGCAGGAATCCTTAATATCTGTGTAACCATCAGATATCCATCAAAAATCTATTTTTTAATAAGAGAAACAGAAAATCACCATTAGAATACCACAGCGATAACTGCTGCAGGCAAGATCCCTTGATGGGTGCTGAAATTACTGGTTAAGCTGAAAACAGAATATTTGCATATTCTTAAAGTATCTCTCCCAAATATTTGATAATTACAAAGGGGAAAATAGTAATTTTACAGTGGAGAATTCTGGCAAATATCACCCTAGCCAAGGGATCAAGGTTAGCATCACCCATAATACATACTGACATCATGTACACTCTGATATGAGGCACCAAGAAAGGCAGACCACCTCTGGTCTATGGGAGCCTTCCAAGTACTGCATAACCCCAATCCAATCATGAGAAAACTTCAAACAAACCCAAGTAGAGTAATATTTTACAAGATTACTGACCTGTAATTACTGACTCCTCAAAAGTGATAAGGTCATAAAAGGCAAGGAAAGACAGGGACCATCACAGATTGGAAGTGACTAACAAAACATGACAACTAAATAGATTGGATCCTGGAACAGAAAAAATGACATTATGGGGAAAACTAGTGAAATCTGAATAATATCTGTAGTTTAGTTAATAGTACTGGGCCAGGTTTTGAAAATTGTCCTACGGTTATGTAGATTTTAACATAAAGAGAAGCTGGGAGAAAGGTGTTCAGGGAATAGCTTTGCATCTCTCAAGTCTAAAGCCTAAAATTAACTCAAAATACAAAGTAAAAAGGAAGAAAGAGAAAGAAAAAGAGCGAGAGAAAGGGAGGGAGGGACGAGGGAGGGAGGGAGGGACGGAGGAACAAGAAAAGGAGAGAAAGAAAATCCTGAAAAATATCTATCACTTCCTTCTCCTGGGTACATGACTAGTCTACATTTCCCTTCATCCCTAACTGTTAGGCGTGGCCATGTGACTGAGCTTTAGTTAATGAAATACGAGGAGAAATGCTGTGTGCCATTTCCAAGCTAAGACTTTAAAAAAAGAAGGTAAGCCCCCACCATGTCCCCTCCCCCTCTCACCAGCAGGATGCAGTGATTCCCTGGGGGGGTGGCAGAGCCACTAGATAGAAAGAGCCTAGGTCCCCAATTCACTTTGTAGAGGAAACCCACCTGCCACCCAGGAATACCCATCTAAAACTCTTGCATAAGCAAGTAATAAAGTTCTGTTGTGTTGCACCATTATACATTTGGGTGGTCTATTTTGCCACAAACTAAAACAAACATATTTAACCCTCTCTAGCCCTTATTTCTACTAAGGTATGCTGCCAAGTCTATTCTTTGAAATGTTTATCTCCAACACAGGGGCTATAAATTTGGCACATGCTAAGAGCTGCTGATTGCAATATCTAACACAGGGATAAACTAAATGTATATTCAGATATAACTCTTCATTAAATGACTTGAGTTTATTTTCCTGGAACATATCCAATCACAAAGGAATATTGTTTTCCTTAGAAAAACTGAGCCAACTAGATTCTTCCTTTACGCCAAGCTGGTAGGGGAGAAAAGACAGTGCTTCTGTGTTCCAATAAAAACATTTCCCCAGCCTCTCCCACCTCTAAGTTGTCTGCCTTCTATAATGATCCAGGTGGAAAAGGCTGATAAGACGATGTTGGGCAATTCTTTCTGATTACTTCCTTTGAAATGTCTACCAGGAACAAGAGTGAACAA